GGTCACTGCAACTCTGATGGTGGTTATAGTCCTGATCCGCTGAGGTGGGGGTAGAGGCCTGAGTGGTAGAAGTCCCATGGAGTGAGGGAAGTCTGCCTAATGAAGTCCATGTGGTCTTTTATTGGGCTCAGGGTAGGTGGGAATGCCTCTGGTACCACCACTGGGGCATTTAATTCTTCACTGGATGATTAATGCTGGATCACAGAACATTTGGAGTGTCTTTGACACCTTCTAAGCACAGTTGGATCCATTATGGCCCCTAGCAGAGATGAATATCTTCAGGTCACGTGAGTGAATTGTCCTGATGTCTCCCTGAAGGGAGTTATCACACATGAGTTATTTGTGTAAGGACAAAGAAACAGCTTGTAGCCTGAGGTGGCAGGTGTGCATACCCTCTGAGTCATCAGCCTTCCAGTCTTTTCACAGTGGTGGATAATTCTTCTCCTAGGAGAGTACCACCCTTATCTTAAGTCCCTCCCCACAGTCTAAATTAGTAGACATGTTTGGAGAAAAGAGAAAAGGTGAATACCAGAGTCTCTGTGTAACCCAGGACAAAAGGTCAGCCTTGAAACTGATAAATTACATTTCTCAAAGGATCTTGGCATGTGATATCTAAGCTGTCCTTATTGGGAACATAATTATCACTGCCTCCAGTACTGACCTGAACCCCTTCTTGAATCCAAATTCACTTTTTATTTTCATTGTGTGAGTACCAATACATTCTCAGATATAATGCAAAAAAACTTCATGTGATACCAGAGAAGACTCTGGCATCAAGCTGACATGAGTGCACTTTTCCTCAGTCGGTGTACTAGAGTCTGATACCTTTTGCTGTCCTGTCTGCCTGTGTCATGGCATCATGGGACTTGACGAGAGCAAGTGCTTCTGATCAGCAAGTAGACAGTGGCATTAATGGCAGACAGCCAACTTAAAGAAGAAAGTTTGAAAAAACTCTCTGCTTACCATGGATTTTTTTTTTTTGTGGCAAAATTAATGTAATTTCTGTTCTGTCAGTTTTTAGTTTGATTGGAATAGATTCCTGATTTATTAGTAAAGCTGAACAATGAATTCAGACATATGCATGCTGAGCTTCCTGGTCTTGATAGGGTTTGCCATACACTTCATAATGCCACATGTGAAAGAGCACAGCTCTTTATTTAACAGCTAACAGCATTTTCCAAAAATGTACACACAATATTTCTAGTTTCATTTCCTTTGCCTCAAACAAATAATTTCATTTCCTTTACCTCTATTTCCATAAATTTAAATAGATTCTGGTAACATCCATCACAGCCTCACAATTTGTCAGGCATAGTTGAACCTGCTGGAGAGTATAGTTTTAAACAGCTATATACATATGTGATGGAAACACAAAGCTGGGGTGAGACTTCTGGTGAATAAGGGCTGTGGAAAAGAAAACAAAACCAAAAACAACAAAGCAAGACAGTAATCCAGATAAAAAACAACATCAGAAACTGTGCTCCCAGTTGTGAACAATCAGCTTCATCTCTCCCCGCTTGACACAATTTCTCTGCCAAGTATCTGAACTTGGAAATTCAAAGAAAGTTTGCAAAATAAGTCTTGTCTTTCCCAGGTAAGAATAGAGTCTTTCTTCAATAAAATTTAAGACATTTTATCAAGTTATATAAGGTGTTATGTAACATCTGTTTCATTTCTGTTGTATTACCCATATTTTTTTTTTTACAGAAATGCATTTTAGATTAATATTTTATGCTCTCGCTTTTAAGAAACTGTCTTTGAATCATTTTGGTCTGCTGCTGACTTCAGGTTCCTGGGAGAGGAGGAGCTGCATGAGCTGAATAGTAGTGTGCTGTCAGCTACCACAACTGAAGAGGGAAGGTGCAGATTTGAATGTGTCAGAACCACACATTTCCCCTTAGAATGAGCAGAAAATAGCAAAACTTGTCACCTGAGAACATCCATAAACTGCTGAGGAGCATGAGATGCCACTTGGTTGTGTCCAAGAGGAAGAGTGGGGAAAAAAGCTTAGGCACAGTCCCTCTGAAGGAGGCAGAGTCTTTAGATGAATTACAGTACCCAGAATAATTTTTGCTACGAAGTAATAATTTTTCTCATTCTTAATCTTTTTTTTTAGCAGTGAAGCAATTAAAATATTCATTCAACATATTGTGCTTTGAAAATATAATTCACAAAGATCAGCAGGCATGTTTTCATTCTGTCGTTCCTGATATTACTCATCACACCAGGCAACTCATTTATTTTTAACTGTCTTCTTTCTTCTATCAGATCTTGTTTCTTTTCAGAGGTTGAAGTGTGAAGCTCAGTGGTTGATTCACCTTTTGTAAAACTGAAGCATAAATTTTTGTTCCTAGTCTGTTTAGTAGATGTCATCTGTTTTGTCATGTAGGTGGCTCTTCATGTAGCATGGTTGGTTTTGGAAATCTGGTCAGCAGAGGAAGCAAATGTATTTTAATATGAAGGTTAAATGATGATATATTGTAAACCCAAGCAAACAAACAAGCCTCACTGCTCACCTCTCCCAGATAAACTTGGTAAATTTTTCTCGGCTCGGAAATGAACTAATTGATTCATTGCAAGTCATCCTGTTTACATGGGAAAGTTTTGACCAGTGATATATATTGCAACACCTTTTCTCTTTGACCTGTTTATCTGGTTTCTAAACTGAAAGACGTCATGGTTTCTCTGAGCAGCAGAAGCATAGATTCTCAAAAGGATTAGTGAACTTTTCTGCCTCTCATTGATATATTTTACCAATGCCCATTCATATCTCTGCACTCTCCACATAATGCTGGTTGCTGTAGTCTTTGAGGTGACCTGCATATTGCTTGGGAAGTTGGACATGAAGTACTCATATAATGCCTATTTAAGGGAAAATATAAACACTAGCATTTTGACATTTAGGACAAGGCTATGTTGTAACTGTATAGGCATTAAAACATTTTAATTTAACACTGTAACATCTTGGTATATACAATTTTTGACTACACAAGTGCTTTATTTTTTGGTCTTGCTGTTATTAAAAAAACAAGAATGTGCCAGATAAACTGGTAGAAGAAAGAGAGATAACTTCTGTTTTAGCAGTGAGTAATTTCATATAGCTCAGTTTTGGAACCTCAAGGGCTGACTCATTTTTCAGTCTTTATTTGCAGTGAATTGTAGAATCATAGAACCATTTAGGTTAGAAATGACCTCTAAGGTCATCAAGTCCAACCATTAACTCCAAAGTCCATCATTAAGTGTCACATCTACACAACTTTTAAATACCTTTAAGGACGGTGACTCTGCCGCTTCCCTAGGCAACCTGTTCCGGTGTTTGACAACTCTATTGGTGAAGAATTTTTTCATAATATCCAACCTAAACCTCCCCTGACATAACTTAAGGACATTTTCTCTTGTCCTATCACTTTATTCTTGGGAGAAGAAACCCCCACCTGGCTACAACCTCCTTTGAGGTAGTTGTAGAGAGGAGTAAGGTCCCCCCTGAGCCTCCTTTTCTCCAGGCTGAAGAACCTGAGTTCCCACAGCTTGTCATCAGGGGACTTGTGTTCCAGACCCTTTGCTGCTCAGTTACTCTTCTCTGGACTCACTTCAGCCCCTCAATGTCTTTCTTGTACTGAGGTGCCCAGAACTTGACACAGGATTCAAGGTGTGGCCTCACCAGTGCTGAGTACAGGGAGACAATCACTGCCCAAGTCCTGCTGGCCACACTATTGTTGATACAGGCCAGGATGCCATTGGCCTTCTTTGACACTAGGCACACTGCTGGCTCATGTTCAGCTGGCTGTAGACAGTTCCTTTCACAACTGACATCTTTCCAGCTAATCTTCCACAAGCCTGTAGCGTTGCATGGGGTTGTTGTGACTGTAACACAGGACTCAGAACTTTGCCTTGTTTAGGCTAGTGTTAGATCCATGAAATGCCGTATGTCAGTATGACTCCCCTCTGCAGAACTGCAGGAACACATGCCCATGCAAGAACAGCTTCACAAATATTTCAAAACCTTTTCGTCTTAAAAGTAAAATGACCAGCTGAAGTGCCTGGCTGGCTTTGTGCCTCAGCCAATGACACATATGGGGAAACTTTTTGACAGAGATGTCTGTATAACTTGCTTGAAGCTAAAACGTCGCACTCTTTGGATGTTAGTTTTGAATAAACGTGGCTTCTTAAAATTAGATTGAAGAGTGGCTGATGTTTGAGAAACAAATAGTGCCAGAGAGTAATAACGTATTTGTTGGAAATAGATTTTATAATAAATTGTACTTGGTATTCTTGACCTTTTTGATCGTTTGCTGAAATACTTTTGTGCTTTTTCTATAATGATATTTTATATAAGATATCGCATTAGAAATTTATTTTGTAGACCACCTTGTTTATGCATAAGACTTCTGTTCCTACATCACTGAAGGGTCTCCTTCAATCTTAGTAGAACAAGCTTGCCACAATGTTTTTGTCATCCTTGTCTGTTTGTGCAGACTTCCTCCTTTTGCTTTCATCTTTGCTCATCCCAATTCAGTTGATATAGCATCCTTACTGAGACTACAGTAGCTGCTCACATTCCCAGAAATTAAATGTAAAGGCAGGACTACTTAAAACTTTATGACATTAAGTGCTTTTTTTTTGTTTGCTACAGTCTTGTGGTTTTTCCTCTAGCTTGTGATGTGTTACACTCTTGAAGGAGATGATGTTTCTCCTGCACAGGAGAAACCCTTGCCAAGGCAAACCTTGATGAACCATGAGCAACCTTCATGAGGCAACACTTTTGGCCGACTTTGACTGCTTTTACAGAGGTTCAGGTTTATCAGTTTGTACAGTTATGTCGCCACTGGAAAAATAATACAAGGAATCAAAGTAGTGTAATGTAGCAGCTTTGCAGTGCTACCAGCACACCTTTGCTGGCCCACAGCCTGCATAAACCACAGCTTAATTTCATTGGATAGCTTTTATTAATATCAATATTCATTCCCTAACTTTATGATTATCATTTTGGCCTGTTTCAGATAAGAAGACAAGGTGGAATACAGTTACTGGTGGACCTATTGGACCATCGGATGACAGAAGTCCACCGTAGTGCCTGTGGAGCTTTGAGAAACTTGGTATATGGGAAGGCAAATGATGACAACAAAATTGCTCTGAAAAACTGTGGTGGTATCCCAGCATTAGTACGGTTACTCCGCAAGACTACAGATTTGGAAATCAGAGAACTGGTCACAGGTTTGAATCTTTCAATATTTTTGTTCAAACTGTATATCAGTCTTGCAAGCATAGTTCTGTGCTGCATGCCACTTACTCCATCAGTAAGTATTTTGTTACAATATTATTTCCCATAACAAAAAACTTTCAAGCCCCTTGGATATATGTAATGTATGAATAGCTTTCAGTATCATGCAGTTTATAGATGTAGGCATGGCTTAAGCCTATGATTACTGGTTCACTTCGTTCTTGGTTAGCCATGAATGCTCTTGCAAGAGATGTGCTCCATACATAGATATGTCGTGGTGGGAATCCTCTCCCTCCTGTCTGGTGTGGGGCTGCCCATGCAGAAGTTATATTTTATTGAATTTACTTAGAAGCTGTTACTCATTCCTTTTATATCCTATATAGTGAGAAGGAGAATTTGTTTGGGGATTTTCTACCTTTCTTGTGGTTCTGATAGGAAAATGGAATACTGTGTTGGAGAGGTGGACAACATCATCTTCTTAAGCTTTTTTTTCTGAAATTTGATACCATGCTATGTGATGTGCTATACACAGAGCATGCAGGTAGTGAGAGTTTATTTTTTTTCTTGATAGAGTAGAATCTGGTCTTTTTAAGATTGTTTGGACTTTGTCCCTTATGAAATTCAAGGGGGAGGGTAGTGGAGGTGGTGTTCAGAAATACAGGAATGCTGTCAAACAGGGCTGATCTGAAACGTTTGGAGGTGTTTTTTCCCCTTGCCCCTAAGTTATCCTATTTAATATGCACAACAGAAACTAGATGGTATTTTTTTATTTTTCACTTTGTGACTTAATTCTATTTGATTGTTAATATCAGTATGGTGATTAACTTAAGGCTACAAATAAAAAATATTTTCGTCATCCTATTTTCAATGCCTGTATTTTCATTATGATTTTCCTACTAAAATATGTAAGAAAATTTCTCATTTCTGTCACAGAATCATCAGAGTACATGTTATCTATGCTTCTGCAGAAATTACTTACCTTTTGTTTCAGGCCTCATTTAGGATACAATTGATAGGATTATCATCCTTTGGTTGGCTCCAGGTTCCTTTCTTGAGGGCATCTGAATAAACTATATGGTGTTTATTAAATGTAGATTTTTATATTTAATTTTGTGTCTTAGTTGCAGCACTTATCACCTCCTACTTGTTAGTCAGGATTAATGGGGCAGAGATATGGGGTTACATGAGCTGAGATAATGCCTCCTGTAGAGTGATAGAATTACTGACAGATCTAATAAAGTGTAACCACTACTTTAGATTCAACATACTTTTTTGTCCCTTGGTTATGTTGTTGGTGTCCTGGCTCCAGCGAACATTTTTCCTATTTTTTCTGAGTAGTGAGAGGCAAACTGCTAATAAACATCAACAGTACACCTGAGCAGTCACAGTGACACTCCCCATACCATCTGTAAATGGAACACATAATGTCATTAGGTCAGTTTAAGAAAATACACGGGGCTATGGTTTACGTTGATTCCATTGCACAGCGTGTTGGTAAATTTTCCTAAATTCCCACAGAAAGAAAGGATGTGTGGGCTAGAATACCCTCAAAGTGTTATTGCCAAGAGGAGTAGGTCCTGACCTTCAGTGGTAGGCAGTAACCTGCCTTTGTACAGGTAGATGCAGCTCCCAGGGATGGTGAGCATCGGGAGTGTTGGACATATATGAAAGGGGAGAAAAGCGAGATGGTGACCCTGAGGAATGGAATCAAAGCCAGTGGTATTTCAAGATTTTATTCCTGGTTTTGTATTGGGGTTTTTTGTTTGTTTTTAATAGCCAGGACATCCCAGAAGGCCACTGCTTGCCCTGGCCCTGTTTTGTGCCTTTCAGAATGTAAATAACTAGTCCTTGCTTTCAAAATGCAAACCTGGTTGTGGTAGTGTTCTGCAAAGTGTCCTTTCAAAGTAAGGCTCATAGTTGCAGCTCTCATCTTGCATCTCTTAGGAAACAGGCTGAAGTGACACATCTGAATCAGTTCTCCTTTGCTTTTTCTTGTAAAATCTTGTGGTATGACAGCTACCCCAGCTCAATTCCTTCCTTCTGTCCTTTCTGGGGAAGGAAGGGTAGCTCTGCAGCAGATTCCTCAGTAATGAAAAGATTTGATTTGGTGGCAGGCACAAGGAAAAATAAAAGAAGTTCTTCATGCTTTCCATCAGCCTTCCTGAGCTGAGGTGGCAGGAAAGTGATTATTTCAGTAGGGTCACTATAGCCTGAAGGAGATACAGAGAAAGTAATAGCAAATGTCTGTTTTGGGAGAAAACATAATACCTTGAGCCTTTCTATGGCATGTTCATTGTGCATCCTGTCTATATAAAAGCTGCACTTGTTTGTTACTTTTAGAGAGGACATGAAGTTCCTGCCTTAGGAATTCATACAGGCTCTGACATTGCTGCCCCTAAATACTCCTCCAGCATTTGTCCTCAGAGCACTTCTCTTAGGTGGGGAAGTGTCCTTATCGTGGTTTTACAGATGGGGAACTGGGCCTATCAGGTGTAAATGACCTGTCCAGAAATGTGGCGATGAAGGTGTGAATCACTCTGAATAGGCACTCAGCTGCAAGGGAAGAAATATGAGCAGGAGAGGTTTTTTAGCAGCTCAATTTGTCTGGTAGCAGTGAAGCATTCATTGCCTGCCCCAAGTACTGTACAGCACTCACCCAATAGAGCGAAAGTTCTGATATTAGTTTCTTCCTCAAACATGCACATTTTCTTCCTTTTTGTTGCTTCTCTCTAAGGAGATTATAACTTAAATTTCCAGCAATCTCAAGACTAGCTTTGGAAGGATATTTAAACCTGTAGACCAGCTTTCTATCCTAGTAACTCCTTGATTGTCAGAGTTGCCTTCAGCACCATTTGTGGCTTTTCCTCTTTTCCAGATACTTCTTTCTGGCATAATCTCTCCAAACAGAGTTTGTCCTTTATCTTGTCTTTCTCCTCTTCAGTAGCAGAGGTCTTGGGCTAATACTTGAAAACCTTACCATGCTCCAATTTTTGGATGCACAAATTTAACCTTATAGCAAAGTATTAGAGCTTCAAGGCTCTCTCATGTCAAGCAAATGATTTCAGTGCAGGCTCCCATGTAGAAGCAATGAGGGAACTGTGCTGCCTGGCTGTTATGAAGTTAAATGGTGTTAATGCCCAGGAACTGCTTCCTAAGATATGGAAAGATTTTTCTTACAGAAACACTTCCACAGTCACAGGTTTTTACTAGAAGAATGTGGATAAACTTAGGTATACAAATGGATGTATACATTTATGTGAAAGTGAACTACTCTGATAGAAATAGAGATGCCAGCATGGTTAAAACCTCTGGTAATTTCCAGAGACTCAAGGAGGACCAGAATTACAATATCTTGTTGCCTGTAGATCTGTAAACGAAAATAAATAGGTGTAAGCTGGACATGCCGTACTTAACTTAGCCATCTTTTCACCCCATCTCTCTGCTACTAGTTCCCACAGTAGATCCTGTTAATAGGAAAAAATAAAAGCCTTCTATTTTAAAATAATTAAATGTTAACACTTTTCTAATAAATATAAATAGACAAGAACACAGTACAAAATTAGCACAGATCCTGCAGATGGTAGAAAGAAATGTTTTCACTTGGCAATAATGAAAATGAGTAACTGATTTCTGATTCTCTTGCCTTTCCCAAGTTAATTATGAACCCTTCCACAAAATTCTATTTTAGCATTCTTTCTATTTGCTTTGCTGTCAGGGGGAAAAAATTACATGAGAAATGTGACATGTTAGCAAGGATAACACAAGAATCCCATGAATGCCTTGTGGAGAAGGTGAAGTCAAGCAGCTGTTGCTAGATCCTTTCCAACCCAGAGCATTCTATGATTCTGTGATTTAGCTAGTCCTTGCTCCCTGTTCCATCAGCTCCATTGAATAACTGGATATCTGTCTCAGATAAAGTTATTTAAACTGCTATGCTTCTCGTTCTTGACAAACAAAATCCATCACAACTAGAAAAACAGTTTCTCCCTATGAACAATAAGCTAACTGAATAGAAAAAAACCTCCATTTAAAGAGGGCCCTTATGACTGTTTCACCTATTTTCAAACTGTACATACCATTTTTGATTGAAAGGTAAAAATTGGATAACCCACTTTTAGAAAGCACATAATGATAAAGAGCTGTAACTATAAATAATGTCAGGAGAAATTGTTTTTTCCTGTGCTAGCAGCCAGCCTCCTGCTTATTTTGGTTGACAGTAAAGTGTCAGAGAGTTAACTATTGTCTACTGGAAATGTATAAATTATAAAAATTATCACATTTACAAAAAATGGAAAAAAGCATAAACTATCTAACACTAAGCATATATACTATATGCAGATAGGTAGATATTGACTCTGTGTATTTCATTCACATTTTTCTTCACTGAAACAAAAAGCATATATTCCATGCCTGCAAAATATTATATTTTGTACAAAATATTTCTCTCAAAGAAGCACTAGTTGTCCAGATAGCTTTGGCCCACAGTCAGGTTGGACAGGAAAAAAATTTCATTTACTTCCCAGATTTTGGGTTCCAGTATTCATTAGTGTTGTCTTTAATTTCAGCTGTGGCCAGTTTGTGTTTTGGCTTGGTTGGTCCTTTGTTGTCACCTCATGTTATGCAACATTATTATGTAGTCATTTTACATTTCTGTTTAAGTTTTAGTAGTTGCCATATGTTTATCATGAGAGATTTATAACCTTATTGATAGTCTCTCAGTGTTACTGGAAGCAATTACATGTTGTCCACCTTATATCTATCTGGTTTGAGTTAACCACTGCAGGTGAAACCTTGTTTTTGACTGCATACTGCTTATTAGTATGTGCAGAAATTATTGGCAGATTAGTCAAGACACTCCAGAAGGGTCCCTTTGAGCCTAGTATGTGTCTTTGCTAATCTGTGTAGTTGCAAGTTAGTGAGCCTGCAGTGATATGTAAAGCACGTTTAAGGGAGTATTTATTTAAATGGACCTTTTGGTTTCCTTCAGTGGAAG